CGAAAAAGAAAAGGGTATTAAAGCCGAAAAAGGAGGAGAACGACGACGAAGAAGATCCGATAATTTTCGATAACAGATCAAATGACAATAATGAGTAAGTGTATATGTCAATTTTCACATGAGCCTAAAAGGCAAATTCCACAATCGACATAATACGAATCAATTTATGGGGTTACCATAGCTCGAACCTCCGATCAATGTGCCACCGTACAAATCATGAGTCGGGTCGACCAGTTGATGTGAGGAGGACGAAGTCCCGTTTCGAGCACCCAAATGCAAATCGGATATATTCGGGACTAATACGTCTTTCCCCTGATCAAACCCTTGATCATATAAAAAGCCTTTGAAGACATGACCTCCTATTCGAACCACCGCCTGATACGCGTACTCGTCTTCGCCGCCATCATCGACAGCCGTCACTCTCACGCACTTGAAAACTGCCGGCGCGTTTACTTGACCGGGCAACGACTCCTTAAAACCAGCATCTTTTATGGGGGTTTTTTTTTAACCAAAAGAAAATAAATAATTATTATCCGATTGTTCTTTGAAGATTTTCTCACAATAAAAAAAAAAGAATAAAGAATAAAGATTATGTTAATTAGTTACCTTGATGGCTTGAGCTAGTATCGAAGCTTCTAGGCGTGTTGGCGTTGTTGTTAGAGGTCGAGGTGTGAGAGGTTGTTGTCTGAGAAGCTCCGGCTAGTCGGGGTTTCTTAGGGGCGCCGGAGGTGGATTGTGAAGAGCCGGCCGCGGCGGCGGTGGTGGGGTTCACGGCCATGAGCTGCCGCTCACGGCGGCGGGCTGCCGGGACCCAAGTACTCTTCACGTGTGTGGAGCAGTTGAAACCCCGGCTCTTACAGCAAGTCCGGCACCTCCCGTGCGAGCAGTCCTTTTTCGCCTGGTTGCCGCAGTCCTGGCAAGAAGTGGTCCCCGGCGGCGGAGCCACCGCGGCGGAGGGGCCCTTATGGAGATCGGCCGTAGCTTTCTTCAGGTAATCATGCATGCGAGCGGCGGCCAACCCGTCCTCGTTGGTGCCGAGCGGGTAAGGATTGGCCGTGAGGAGAGGGATGACGCCGATGCCGAGGGGGTGGGGGTCGAAGCTGATGGTGGAGGCCGCCGTCTCCTGGCCGTGGTAGGGCGCCGGCGCCGGCGCCGGCGACACGAAGAAAAGTTCCGGGGGAAGCCTGGAGGAGGAGGAGGAGGACGGCCATATCCCTCCGGTGTTGGCGGCGGGTGGGCCGGCATTGAACCCTAGTGAGAGGTCCCCCGCTGAGGTGGAAGACGACGCCACCCAATCGCCAAAGGCGCCGGACTCCGACACCTGCAGCCGCCGAGTGCTCGCCAGTACTGCTAGCTCTTATTGTCTTCTCTCACGAAAATTAAGTTGATCCTTGTATATTGAATCTTCGTCAAGATCTCGTTTTTTTCCCAAATCTGGAGACCAAGAACAAGAACAAGATCAAACTTTATCTTCTTCTTCTTCTTCTTTCTCACAACTTGTTTTACTCCATAATTAGCATAAATTAATGCAACTGCACTCACCACAGAGAACAGTTGAGAGGGAGGAGGCAGTGAGGGTAATAATAAGTAGCAATAATAATAATAATAACAATACACAAATGTATATGTACAATTTAGAAGAAGCAAACAAGGCAACAAGTTAATAATAGAATAATATGGAGGAATTGAAGGGGGCAAAGGGCAAGGGCAAAGGCAAGGGCCAAGGGAAGAGTCCCCCACCAAAAGGACCGTCCGTCAGTGCTAATTATAAGAACAAAAACAAAAGGCAAAAGAACAAAACATGACTTAATTGACTGATTGCACAGAGAGTCCTATATTAAAATACCCTCTCCTTATATATATATATAATAATCCTTATTGTTTTCAGAACCTCTCTCTCATCTCTCTCTTTCTCATCTCTCTCATCTCTCTCATCTCTCTCTCTCTCTCTTGATCGGCAGAGATGAAAATGAGGGGTGGTGGGGCCCGCTCGCACGGGTCGATTGTGGTTCGTGATTATTGGAGAGAGAATATTGCACGTAAAGCAAGCAAAAAAAGTGTGTGTGTGTGTGTGTGCGCTTGTGTTAGAGAGTGACAGTTCACATTTCTTTTTTTTTTGTGTGTGTGTGTGTAGGTTTTCGAGCATTTTTTGAATTAGAAGCCCTAAAGCAAGAGAGTGGGCTCTAATTCTTTTATTATTTTAATTCCTCTCTCAAATCCTTTTATCTTACGTTCTAATTAAGAGGAATATATGTTATTATTTTATTAAAGGCTATAAAAGCAACTATGATATGGAATATGTAAAAGGCTAAAAAAAGACTAAGTATGAAGTCCCACATATATCTTCTTTTTTTTTTTTGTTTTTTTTAAATAAAAGCCATTGTTTATGTTGTTGAGGTTGATCACACATGATACCCTAGCTAGGATGCTTTGATGGGGTTATACATATTTTTTGTTCTTTATCTTGTTACTTGCAAAAAGAAAAAAAAAACAAAAATAGTTTCATAACTAGGGTTGTTTATAAAGTAGTCCGATTGGAATACAACCGATTAATAGTTGTACTGTAACTTTTTTATGTTGGTATTTTTGGCCCAAAGGATACGTTTATTGATGGTCGAATATTTATCAATTCTCTGACCCAATATTGTTTGGCCTGAGCCAATTTTTTTGACAGCGCACTTGATCTATGTCATCTTGACCGTTCGTATTTAAGTGGCTTGATTTTGACTGTTCATTTCTTTTCTCTAAATTACCTGATGCAGCACTAAGTTTTATTAACTCTCCTAAGCAGCCATCAGACATGAGATTAACCCTAAGAATTTTAGCTCCCACGCAGCCATCTTCTTAGGGGCCTTAAGATTTTTCAGCAATGTTTGAAATTTGGAAGTCATCTCCACGTAACTCTTTGAAAAATCCCAACAAATACTATGTTCTCTCTCTAGAGATCTAACTCTCGGCCTCTTCAATTGACTTAGTATATATATATATCCAACCCTCTATTATCTCATTGTATCTTTGTGATAGTGAGATTGTGAGTATGTTAGGGGTGTTTTTCGTGACTACCAAGTTAGTAGGTGAGAGGGATTTTTTGGGGGTTTTTCGTGTACAGGATGTTACGGCCGGTGGTGTTACCACTTAGCTTCTAGTGCCGGAGTTATTGTGGTCACGAGTCCAATTGATCTATTCCTTGTAAGCTCTTTAGTGACTCATTTAAAGGAATTGACAAAAGGGGACTGAGCCTAGTCGATTCCAACCCATCATCGTGGAATCAGCGGCATTCGTGCATCATTCCATAACTCGGCAAAAGGATGTACTCGTTTCTTTTATTCCTTATTTATTTTTCAGCATTTTACATTTATTTATGCTCTTTGATATTGCTTATATTTGATTATCTACTAGTTTTTAACACGTGCATTTGCACGAAAAACAATATGATAGAGGAAAAAATAATAATAATTTTAAAAATCATAACATAATCATTAAATTAAGAAAGAAATTTTGGATATTCTTAAACACTTCATTATATCCAATGTTCGTGGATTTTCTATCGTCACAATCTCCATCACCACAAATCATTATCTTCAAGCACTTCTGATTCGTGACTCTAGATAGTGCCACATACAACTGTCCATGACTGAATACAGAGTGTTTCAGTAGTTAGCTGACGTAAGATAGTAACTGGTCTTGACTCTTGTTGATAGTCATAGCATAGGAAACTATGAGCGGAAACTGTTTGCGCTGAAACTTGAACATAACCCTCAAATTGGATGGTATGATTATGAGGTTTATAATAAGAACTTTGTCACCGGCTCCATCACCGGTTAAAATCATGCATTTGAGGACAAGGTTGTTGAGCTTAGTGATAACCAATCATGTACCTGTTGACATCGAAATTTGGAAAACAAAACATATCACTCAAATTTGTACAAATATAAAAGAAAATAAAAATGATAGGATCGAAATTCAATGAACAGTACCATTGCACAACTCCATTGAGTGATCAATGTTTATGGGAAGCATCACCGAAGTGTCAATCTTCAAGTGAAGTTTATGGTTCAGAAGCCCTGAGCACTTGATCCTATTGAGAAATTCAGGAGTGCGAAGATCCTGAAGAGTCATATCCAGCATCTGAATTGCACGGGGTTTCCGAACTCAAATAAATCCTCCTCCCGGATGTGTTCAGTGAGCTCATGTACACGTTCAGCAAAAGGTAATCACTGAAATTAGATCTTGGACTCGAGCACAACAACTATGGGAACGAATATGGCGTTCTCCTTTAGATAATTAAGATCGTATCTGTTTGTTATGTTTTTGTGCCTATTTTCTATGTGATTTTGGTGGTGTGGCGAGTCATTTTTTTGGTTCTTATGTGCGTCATTCCGGTCCATTTTTGCTTGTATTTCTCTTTGATAGTTTTTAGGGTCGTGTTTCATTTTTGGTTGCATTTCTTTGTATTTTCTAGTGTTTTGTAGGTTCAATGAAAAAAAAATCGATTGGCGTAAATGTGTTTGTTGGCTTCTTTCACTGAACGGAGTCCGCACTCTCGGTGCAGGGGATAATAGACTGTCAAACATCACAGAGTCAAGTGTCGGACTTATTAGGTTAAGCAATAATCCGGTATGGAGTAGGAATTACCTGGGGTGGAATAGCCGGTCTTGAAGTCGGAGCAAAGGCCGTAAGTGATCAAGCTCTCCTCTGACACTAAGTCGCGATAGAAACGCTCGTCCTCGTCAAGTGCCAACAAGGTGCCGATCTTCTCCGCTAAATCGTTGCTGGCGTCGAAACGGGGATTGTGGACTGAAATGGAAATACCGACATGTTAGCACGGGAGAAAAACACGTAATTAGAAAATGGCAGGGAACGATACTCACACTTGTCGGATATAAAACCGGTGTATGGATGTCGGGCTGCATCCGACGTTGCCACGCGCAGGAAACCTAGGACCACTCATGCATGTAGCCGTGCAGTGATTCCGGGATTTTGTTCACCAAGGACCTGTCCACCCCGGGAGCAACGGAGCTGTAGTAGTTGCCGGTATTACTGGACTTCTTGAAAATCAAGAGAGCCTGAATATCCGCGCTCGTGGAGTCGGCCCAGCCTTACTTGCGGAATAAGACGATCAAACCCATCAACCGCGCGAAGGCCGTGGGTACTAGTTGGCTGATTCCGATGCTGAGGTCGCTCAGGATGTCAATCAAGACGCTGGGCAAATGAAATCGGAGTCCGAGCCGGACGCTATGACGGTAGACTCTGATGCAGCCCGGCGGAGGACAATGTATGCGTTCATCGGCGTACGGGGCGAAGATCTGGACGTCGGGGCCGAAACTCACCTTACCCCTTAACTGAACCATGTCAACGTCCCCTAGGATGGACGGTGTGTTCCAGGCCGACATCTTCGTAGGAGTTGGCCACATGCGAGGAGGGCGACGCCAGCTCCCGGGTGGGGCAGAGGTTGCAGCCTCAACAGCGGCGTCGGTCTCAGCATCGCCCTGCCTCATGGGGACCCGCTCCCGTCCACCGGTATCGCCCTAAAGGGTCTCCTCGACCAGGCCGGGGTCAACGTCCGAATCGCTGTCAGAAGGCCCACCGTCCGGGGTAGCCTTATCTCCACCGTCAGACTGGCTGGAACTGAGGTCAACAATATTGACCACTGGGATCTGCGGGAACACCTCCCCTAGCGGGTCAGCCACCACCATCGATGGTCGGGACACCCGAACAGCCGAGATCGGCATAACTCTGAGGGGTTGTGTCGCCTCCGCCGCCGGTAGAGAGTACACTACAATCTCGCCGGTCTCCTCCGCCGGCTGTCTCTCGACCTCACCGGAAAACGCCCCGAAATTCGAAGAACTCGACTTGATATGAAGAAAATAAAAAGAGAATGAAGAAATTACCGAGAATGAAGCTCTGAGAAGTTCCCAAAATCTTCCTTGCTGAGGTACTCTGAAGGCTGCTGAAATTTGCTTGGAATTGCAGAGAAGGTAAAAGGTTCTCGATTAGGAAGACGATGCTTATATATATAATTCGATCCAACCGGGGAAGGCTATGTGGCGCCGTTTGAAATTCGAAATTAAATAATTAACTGATCAGATTAAACGGCCACGATCGGAGCCATCCGACGGTTCGCGAGTGGTCGCGTGTGCAACACGCAGTTTAAGTAACCGCCCCTACCCACTGAAACGACGCGACTAACCACGTGGATAAATTAGTTCGCGCCATGTGTAAAGGTTCTGAAATGGCACGACTTTTCAGAGACGACAAAAACCATCAACGGCCATGTCGCATTAATTGAGGCGTCGTTTCAGCTCGCGTCATCAATGCGCCAAGAACAGGGAAAATGTGACTCAAGGAAATCGAAGACGCCGGGATGAAATCTGGCAAACTCGGGACTGAGTACTAGAGCGGCGACCTCGGACAAGATGTTGGGAGACCTCCTCTCCGAGCTCGAGGGCCTGTATGTTGATAACCGAGTTAGCCCAGAATGAACCGGAGACTTGACCTCTCAGGACCCGGGTTGAAGACCCGGTCTGATACCGGGTGCCGAGCTGAACCGAAGATTAAAGATATGCAGAACTGTCGTGGGAACGTTTCCCTAGAACGACACCTGGCTCAGTCCGGGCAGAAGCCGACCTGAGAGAGTGCCGGGCAGGAAGTAGGCTGCTGATGATCTGGGGTAGCCGGCCAGAGGGAAAGGGCGGGACTCGATGAGCATTAAAATATTCCCACGTGGAAGGCCATCATTGGATGATGGGATAGGTTATCATAGCCTAGCGTTCTACCAGCGAGCCTAGTAGATAAAGCCTACCAGCATTAAATGTCCCCCATGCTGGCATTTAATGCCTGACAAGTAATGATTGCCGAAACCTCAAATCGCATTGAATAGATGTTAGAGAGACGCCGAACTGCTCTGCAAGGCCACTGTGCGACAAGACCGGTGAACAGTAGATGAACAGTACCACATTAAAGACTACTATAAATAACAGTCCACTTCATTTATTTTGGGTTGTTGAATCTCAACTTACTCTGCCTTCTCTCTACTTTATCTCTCTAGAAGCTGTAAGAAACTTATTGTAAGAACCGTATAGTATATCACAAGTGCCGACCTCGTACGAGAGGCCGACATCGTGATCGCTTAATAAAATCGTAATTAAGCAATATCTTTCCTTCGCTTCCAGTCTCTTATTTCCATTATTTATTATTTTAACCGTTGACCGAAAATGCTCGTCAACACAGGGCTCGAACACGAGACCACTGGTTAAGCTGGAAGAGACCCAAGCCATCTCATCCAAGTGCTCTTGGGTAGATAGACACAAATTTAACTCCTAACATTCAAGAACGTAAGAAAAATATAATAAAGTCCTAAATTCGAGCATCAACATAAGTTCTTGGCCAACAAACCAACTGTTGGGATCTATGAGAATCTCGTTATGTACAGGTTATGAATTCAATGGAAAACGTAAACTTATACGCAACGGATCTAAAAGCTTGACATAGAAAACTTAAAATTTTCTAAATCTGACGGATTCGGGTTGACCGGGAAGAGCACACGAACATGAGCTGGATCACAAAAACGGAAAGGCGGGGTTGGCCGTGTCGCGATCGTGGTGGCTGTGTGGTGTCGGGTCGCCACGTCGGTCGTGTTCGGGCTGCCGAACTAATCGCGGCGTTCCTCCGGCTGCTTCACGACATCGGACGGCAGGTTAGGTCGGCGGATCTTGAACATCGGGTTGAGATTTGTCGACTTCTGTAGATGATCACAATATACCTTCAGGATCTTCTGTTGTATTACTCTTACACCTCTTCGA